AGGATACACCAAAGCAGATGTTAAAGTGAAATTTTTGCTATAAATGCTTGTATTAAGAAAAAAATTCAAATAAACAGCTAACATTACACCACAAGGAACTAGAAAAAGAAGAAACTTGGCTAAAATTTAGTAGAGGAAGGAAATAACAAAGAAAAATCAGAAATAAATAAAATAGAAACCAGAGTAAACAATAACATAACATTGAAAGTAATGGCCAGTTTTTCAAAAAAATAAAATTTGTAATGCTTTAACTACATTTGCTAAGACAAAAAAGAAGACTCAAAAACCAAAATGAGAAATGAAAGAGAAAATAATACAGCAGATAACCACAGAAATACATAGTGTGATAACAGATTACTGTAAATAAATATATACTAACAAATCAAATAGCTTAGGGGAAAAAAAAAACAGATAATTCCTAAAAACTCACAAGTTACCAAGATTGAATCATGAAACTTGAATCCAAGAAGTAGGAAAAAAGTAAATATTGATAAATATGTATTTATTCCCATTTTATTACTTGTTTTGCTGTTGTTTCTGGCGATTTTCTCTGATCCTTTCTTGTTTTTGTCACTTTTGGTCTCTCCTTTGCACTCAGAGTGTTTAATGTTTCTTGCAGGGCTGGTTAAGTGGTCACTAACTTCTTTATTTTTTGTTTGTCTGGGATACTCTTTCTCTCTCCTTCTATTCTAAATGACAGCTTTGGGGATAGAGTATTCTCAGCTGCAGATTTATCTCCTTCAGCATTTTGAATATATCATGTCAGTCCCTTCTGGCTTGCCAAGTTTTTGTTGAGAAATCTCCAGCTAGCCTTATGGGTTTTCCCTTGTAAGTTAAGGACTTCTTTTGTCTTGCTGCTTTCAAGATTTTCTTCTTTGCCACTGTATTTTGCAAATTTAATTACAATGTGTCTTGGTGTTGGCCTGCTTTTATTGATTTGATGGGAGATCTCTGGGCCTTCTGGATCTGGATGTCTTTTTCCCTCCCCAGATTAGGTAAGTTTTCTGCTATTCTTTCTTTCTTTTTTTTCTGCTGTTCTTGAAATAAATTTTCTGCCCCTTTTCTCACTCTTCTTCTGGGACTCCTATAATACGAATGTTAACTGCATTTGATGGAGTCACAGAGTTTCCTAAGTCTTTTCTCGTGTGGCATAATTCTTCCTTCTCTCTTTTGTTCCACTTCCTTATCTTCCATTACTTTGTCTTCTAGGTCAGTAATTCATTACTCTGCTTCTTCAGCCTGCTGTTCATTGCATCAGCCTGTTTCCAATCTTGTTTATTGCATTCTTCATCTCTTATTGATTCTTTTTTAACTCTTTTATCTCTGTGGTAAGGGTATCAGTGATGTCTTCTATTCTTTTCTCAAACCCAGTGAGTATCCTTATGATTGTTGCTTTAAGTTCTCCATCAGACCAGTTACTTAGATCTGTTTCACCTAGATCTCTGGCCCTGGCCTTATCTTGTTCTTTCATTTAGGATAAATTTCTCTACCATGGCATTTTGTCTAAGTCTCTGCCTTCTTCTGTGTATCAGAAAAGCTGGTTATGTCTCCTGCTCCTGAGAGTAATGGCCTTATGAAGAAGAGACCATGTAGGCACCAGGCCTGGTGCTTCAGGGAGTGTCTCTGGTGTGTGCTGCATGTGCTCTGCTCTTGTGTTTTGGCTGCTCTATCCTTCAGGCCAGTGGTCTGCAAAGGCTCTCCTGGCCTGAATATGGCAAGTTTTTGTTTTGTTTTGTTTTTTAGTTTATTCTTTTTTGTTGTTGTTATGTTAATTACTATACATTACATGATTAGTTTTTGATGTAGTGTTCCATGATTCATTGTTTGGCAAGTTTTAACCAGGTGTACTCTGATCTACTTGTGAAATGAGACCTGACAACAACTCCACTGGAACCGAGGCCCTGCAGAACTCTCTGGTCAAGAGATGTGGTGTGGTAGGGGTTTGTACTGGACTTTTGGGGGAGGGACCCACTGCACTGGGACTGAGACAGGCTTGACTGAGAAGGTCAGTCCTGCCTAAGCACGGGGGTGGAGCTTTGTGTAAGCAAGTTAGGCAACCAGTGTAGGCCTTGTGCTACTTCCCACAGGTGGTTCTGTGTTTTGCTGAGGGGTTCTGCTGCCATCTTCAACAGACTATAGAATAATATTTAATGGCATGATAAAGTATGTTCATAGTGATGGTGATAGCTAAAATATATTGGGTGTCCATTTTATGCCAGGCACCTTTCTAAGTGCTTGTATTAACTCAGTTGATCCTCATAACAGTCTTATAAGGAGAAAGTATTGTTATCCTCATTTTAAAGGTGAATAAACTGAGGCTCAGAGCATTTAGGTAGCTTCCCTAAACTCAGAGCAGATAGAGCAGAACTAGAATTCAGATCCAGGCAGTGTGCCTCTAAAGCCCTTACTCAGGCATTATCATATGAAAAAATACCAAGGAAAAATTTCTTTAAATAAACTTTCTCAGGGAACTAATCAAAGTGCTTTTAATCTAGGAAAGAAAATGTGTTCAAGATACCCAATCAAATTTTGACAAAAGGGAATTGGTAGAGGGGAAGGACAACTTATTGTACCAGCTATCAAAATATACTATAAAATAATAGTAATTTTTAAAATACTATATCAGGGGCACCTAGGTGGCACAGTCAGTTAAGCATCCGACTCTTGGTTTTGGCTCAGATTGTGATCCAGGATCATGAGATCAATCCCTGTATCAGGCTCCATGCTCAGCGTGTGGAGTCTGCTTAAGACTCTGTCTCTCTCTGCCCCTCCCCCCAACCCTCCTCTCTTGCACACGTGCTCTCTCTCTAAAATAAATAAAGAAATTTTTTTTTTTTAATACCTATTGTAGGGGCACCTGGGTGGCTCAGTCAATTAAGTGTCTGCCTTCAGCTCAGGTTGTGATTCCAGGCTCCTGAGATTGAGCCCCACCTCCTTGCTCAGTAGGGAACCTGCTTCTCCCTCTCCCTCTGCTGCTCCCCCTGCTTGTTCTCTCTCTCTTTCTGTCAAATAAATAAAAATCTTTAAAAAAAAACTATCATATTATAGTAGAAATAGGGAAGAAATAGGGAAAAAATCAGAAGAGTATGCTGCTTTTTATGTTTATAGGGAAGAGGCTGAATGGATACACCTAAATAGTAAGACTGATTATTACTTATCAGAGAGGGATTTATAGGTCATTTTTTTTAATTTTTCAGATTATCTACAGTGAACATTTTTAAATCACATAATATTAGGAAGTTTATTTTCAATACTTTAAAACTTTAGGTTTTAACTATATTTTGTTAGTGCAATATATTGCTATTTAGTTTTATGCATAGTCTACCCTGCATTTTCTGAATTGTTTGGTGTACAAAGTGTGTATGTATGTGTATATATACACATATATTAATTGTGGGGCACCCTGATCAGATGGGGGGACCAGTGGCACAGGCAGTGAAAGATTTCACCCAAGGCAGAACAAACGTTTATTGAATACACTGCAAGGGAGCAGCAGGCAGAACAGAGAAGGAGAGACTGCCTGCAACAAGGCAGTGGTGAGGGACCAGTTATAGGGCAGAGTGAGGAGTTATGGGAACGTATTGAATTTTCCCTTTTTTGGTTAACCGTGCCTGGTTGTATGTAGCACATTGGTTAGTTACGGCCTGTGGCTCTTTCAGGGTGGGTCGCTTACTGAGCCTGTTTGCATCAGCTTGGTGGTCGCTGTGCCCTTTCATCTTACTCAAGTTCCATTGCTCAAGCCTGTTGCCTAAAAGCAGCCTCTACATTTATATTTCTATTTATCCTTATACTTATATTTATATAATACATTTATGTATGTATATATATTTTTTCTTTTATGTATTCATTTATTCAGGTCTTGTATTAACCAATCACACAGAATCACCAATCCAGTCCTTTTTGGTAAACATGGAGAAAAGACAATAGGATAATTATCTTTTAGCCTAGTGTTGAAGAGAAGAGTTTCAGAATCTCTGACTAATTTTGAAAACCCGAATGTTTATTGATGGTGTTAAGAAAAGCTATTGCATTTTATGTATGTAGCTTCTGTCTGATCATCTTACTGAACTTTATTATAAGTTGTAACAGTTTTTCAGTTGATTCTCTTAGATTTTCTAGGCATATAATCATTTCATTTACGGATAATGATAACTTTTTTTCCCCAGTATTTATGGTCTGTATGTTATATAACATCCCCCAAAATGGAATAGTTGTTTAAAAAATGAGTAGTTCTTATTGTAACATGGAAATATGAGTCCTACATATCATGAAGTGAAAAAATAGTTACAGAGTCCTATCCTAGGTATGGTATAATCCAGTCTCTATTTTAAAAAATAAAGCAAGCACTGCATAAAGGGCTTGATTTGAGAAGATTATTCTTTCCCTCAAAATTTCTGTACTAATTTAGGTGCCTGTCTTAGTTTGCTTGGGCTGCCATAACAAAATACCATAGACTTGATGGCTTAAAGCCCAGTCCGGAGGCTAGGAAGTGCAAGACCAAGGTGCCAGCTGATTCAGTTCCTGGTGCAAGCTCTCTTCCTGGCTTGCAGAAGCCAACTTCTTACCGTCTCCTCCCATGGCGGGGAGGGAGGGAAAGAGAAAAAAGGGAGAGAGAGAGAGAGAGAGAGAAAGTGACTGAGAATGAGAGAGAATGAGAATGATCTCTTTCTCTTCTTACAAGGCCACAGTCCTATCAGATTAGGGCCCCACCCTTAGGACTTCATTTAACCTTAATTACCTCCTAAAGACTCTAGCCGGATATAGTTATGTTGAGGGTTAGGGCTTCAGCATGAATGTGGGGTGGGGTAGGGAAGGGGTGCACAATTCAGTTCAGAGCAGTGCCTAATTTCTTTTCCCTGATATCTTCAGAAATCCTATGTTTAATTTTATTTCAGACAGAATTAGTTTTATTTCTAATGACATTTTTAAAAGACTTGTTACTTTACAGTGTATCATAGAAATTTTATCTCAGTTTAACTTCACGAATCATTTCTTCTTAGACACAAAATCGAATGAAGCTAATGGCCGACAACTATGAGGATGACCACTTCAAATCCTCCCATTCCAATCAAACCAATCATAAACCCTCCCCAGACCAGGTAAGACTGTTCTTGAATGTTTTATAAAAACAAATGTGCTTTTATTTTCATGTGTCTTATACTAGCATGTTACAAATTCCGGAGTATAAGTTAGAAAAATAAAAATAAATAATTTCTGAAATCTCCTTCACTCATGTTTTTAAACATAGATTCAATTTCTGTACAGGAAGGTGGTGGTAGATGATTCTGAATATTTTAAGAGGAGATACTCAAGAGATTTGAGGACTATAAGGAATCCTTGAATTGGTTGAGAAAAAAATTAATCTCAGAGATACATACTAATTTGTAAGTGTCCTACTTTTCTTATTAAAACAATGCCTTATTTAAAAAAAAAAAAAAGACTTGTTCCTTGTGAGCTCAATAAGACACAATTCTGTTTAGAGATAACTGTTGTTTAATTGCAAATTTTTAAATCTCTCATCATCACCTATTTATTATTAAGAGTGAAAATTTCTTCTCTTCCATTTCCTTGGTTAATCCCTCCAGTATATGTTATTCTCAAGGCAAATTGTTGCCTTCAACTTCTCAGCAGTGCAAAAGAGGCATTGATGAGTCTGAAGGGAACCATATTCAACTCCAGTCTTTTGGAAGAAGGGAGCTCTCCCAAGATCTTGAAAATGATGGATGGGGGAGAGTGGTGAACAGATTACCTCATATCCCAGTGCCAAAAATCAGATTTCAACATCTCTGTCACACTCAATCTTAAAATATATAGCAGAAGGAAAAAAAATAATAGTTAAGTAATTACATCCATATGACTAAAGAGCCAAGGGAAACTCCCCCACTAAACATCTCCACTGAATGATAGCCATGACATTATCTTAGAAGAAGAAATACTGCAGATGTAAACAGCAGTAATATCCAAATTGCAATTTTTTCTAAGATTCAGAAGGTATAGTCACAGTATGATGACATTTACTAAGCCAGTTGAGGCAAGCCTTATATTTTAGAGGGAAAACAATACCAATCTTAATGTAGGCAGAATGCAGAACTGTCTGCCTGATGTCAACCGTCTTTCTTTGCCAAGAAATGATTTTGCTATCTCTGCCTGTTCTTGATACCCAGAATTAAATTTATGCCAGTGTATATAAGATGAGTATTAGATCCTTTCCTTGAAACAGGTTTTGATAATGAATAAATATTAGAAATTGGATGCCTGGGAGTAGTAGGAAGCAAACAGAAATGAGGAAAGTTTAAAAAAAAAAGGCAAAAATAAAGAAAAGCCTCCAACCTGATAATTTTGCCCAGATCCAGCCCTGGGACAGAGACAGTGTCTTGGAAGGGTAGGAAAGTAGAAGTGTAATGACAAACTAATTACTAATTTGGGTAGGTTAGGGAATTTAAAGAGTTAGAATCTAATATTAAAAAGAGTCAAGAAATTAGAGACCATTTTCTTCTACATTATGCTTATGTCTTTGTTTTAAATACTAACCAGCTCTTTTTCATTCCCATGCTGCTCTGGGGCATTGTTCCCTTTGTCATCTCTCTCCCCTAGGATGAGGAGGAGGGTATATGGGCATAGCCAATCAGATGCTCTTAGTTCAGCCATTTTGTTCAGAACGGTGAGAAACACCTTTCCTTAACTATAGAAATGTTTTTTGTTTGTTTGCTTTCAATTTTTTTTTTTTTTTACACAATCATTCTCACATCTTGTTTCTCTGTAATTCATGAAACTGTTTGGTGTGCCTCTGTTTTATCATTTTCACATGATTCCTGTGTGTATTGCTATGCTTCTGACATAGTGGGATTGGGTTTTGTGGGTTTTTTTTTCTTTTTGTGTGTTAATAGTCACTTTTATAATTTCTTTTTATACATTTTTGGGAGAACTTCCAGGGCATATAATTAAATTTCTCCTGTTACGATTTTATTAATAAACTACCTTATCTAGTGTGATTTTACAGTGTCCTGGTAAGGTTTATAGTGACTTTGTCAAACTGGAACTAGAAAATTGATCAAATACTCTGCCACTAGGTTTGGGATATACTTTTTATGATAATTATAGATATATGTCTTTAAAAAATTTGTACTGTGAACTAAAACCTTTTGGTTCTATCTGTAAAAGGATGCTCTGAATTCTCAGGGTCAGTGGTTCTTATAGAGTGTCTACCAAGGACATCCCCTAGAGCTTTAACATTACTCTCAAACTGTCCTTAAAAATAAAGAGAAGTAAAGGAAGACCTTTTAAAAAATCGGTCTAAAGAATTCTTTTTCCTCTCTTTTATGGATTGCTGCTGTGTTAAACAGTTGCCAGGACACTGTCTAGATTCTCCTTTCCAGGCCAACTGGCTGGAAAATATAGTCCAGCTGTGGCAGTATCTCCCTTTGATCTGATGCCCTGGAGGTTTGACTAAGGAAATCCTTTTCTTAGAAAAAATAATGATTACAATTAATAAGTTCACACATATTGGTGGCCTTGCACTCTCTGGATTCACTGCCCTTGCTTATTGGTGATCTCACTCTTTTGGAGTCAGTTCTCTCTGAAAAGTCTGTGTCTTGGTGTTAATACTTCTTAAAATGATGAGAACATGTGTAGACCTCTCACTAGCAAACACAGCCAAGAAGGATGATGAGGTAAGTTGTGAAAAGGGGCACATACTGTGAAGATGGGAAACTTTCCAAATGACTTTATCCTGTGGGTGTACAAGGCAAAATGTATACCAGCCAAAAAGCTATTTGGATTAGGGTGTTGCATGCCAGACAAAGCTAAAGCTGAGAAAATTCATTTGCTAATTCTATTTATCTACACTGTCCCCTGCAAGGGTAATTATTTGTCATCGTGAAGGATGTGGGGGCCATACAGTAGTTGAACATAGAATCAGTCCCCTCCTTCTAAATGAACCTGACTTGTCTATTTTGGCAGAACATAGGAGCCTCTTGGCATGCCTTAGCAGGAAGCATGTCCCTGACATATATGAATAGGATTGTATTGGTTGTATACCCTTTTTCTAGCCAATCAGAAAAGACAAGTTAGTGTTACAGGAGAGAAGGCCCGCAGATAACCTCACCAGGAGACAGAAAAATGTTAAACCTACACATAGACTTGTTCCTAAAGTCTCCATTTTATTTTATTTTCTTCCCTAATAGAACAGCTCCTAGTAAGAGTTTAAATGCTATTAATTTTGTTTTTTTAATGATTGCACTGTTGAGCTTATTGCACTAAAATATTAACTGCCATTGGTTTAACACAGTGCAGTTGCAATTAGCTGGCCATAACTGGAGTTTTTATGATACGATATTTCAAATTTTCGAAAATGTGCTATAAATGTCATAATATCATAAGGGTTTTACCTGAAGAAATGCATGAGTGACCCCTAGTACATTGATTTCTAGTTTTCTTCACTTGTTTTCTTGCTAATTCTAGAGAACAGATTTCTTAACAAAATTTCAAACTTTTGAAATTGATGATTTACCTTATCAAACTTAAGAATGTAAATAATGCTTTATGCCTAAAACATTTTATAAAACACGATATATATGTCAGCAAAGCATGAGTCTTACTAGATATAATCAGTACTCAGACCAGAAGAGAATCATAGAAGTAGAGAGCCGAAAGGGGTCTAGGCAATTTCACAAGAAATGGTAGAACATAATGTTTAAGAGTCGAGGCTTTGGAGCAGAATGCCTCTGGTCAGATCCTAACACCACCATGTATTAGCCTGTGACTTTGGACAAGGTATTTAATCTCCCCATACTTCAGTTTCTTGTCTTTCAAATGGAGGTTGTTGTGAGAAGCAGATGAGTTGTTACAGGCATAAACTCTGGAGCCAAACTGCACGGCTTTGCATCTAGACTCCTCCACCTTCTCTTTGGCCTCAGGAAATTAACTCAATCTTTGAATTCCAATTTTTCTGTAAAAATGGGTTTATTTATTTATTTATTTATTTATTTTTGAGAGAGAGTGCAGGGAGAGGGAGGGTCAGAGGGAGAGAGAAACTCTTAACAGGCTCTGCGCCCAGCGCAGTGCCCAACATAAAGCTCAATCTCACAACCCGGAGATCCTGGCCTGAGCTATAATCAAGAGTCAGACAGTTAAGCAACTGAGCCACCCAGGTCCCCTGTAAAAATGGTTTTATTAATGGCCTTCTTTGTAGGGTTGTTGGACAGATTATTAAGTTAATGTATGTAAAATGAATTAAACAGTGCTTCCACCGTGTACTCTGCTTCCATTATTATTTGTTGTTGCTGTTGTCATCATTAACTTGAATCCATCTCCAGGAATTAGTCAGCGTTCAATAAGTGTTAGTTACTATTTTTATTAATATCTAGTCCAGTGCCCTCATTCTGTAGGTAAGAGTGCAAAAAAATAAATAAAAGGATTTAGATGTGACGTTAAGGCCCCCAGGCATTTCTGTGATCTGGAAAGAGGAACTAGTAGCTGACAGTGAAAGAGATAATCTAAGACATATTGGTGATTATATCTCCCTTTTCATCACCAAAAATTTAATCTCTTATATGCTGAGGAATTTTTTCCCTTGAGAACACACCTTGAATTTTTCTATAAAAGAAATTTATTCATTGAAACTTTCTTTAAATTTGCTGTCATAACCCTCCTGAGACACACAGAATAAAGCAAGTGTTACCTCCAGTTAGAAAGCATGAGAGTCCCTTCTCTCTCCCCTCAACCTATAGAAAACTCATGTGAAATGTGTCCCTGCTACTGTCTGTCCTTTTACTTTGTGTTTTCTTTCTTGTTGTTCCCTGACAGTAGAGTGTAGGCGCCATGGGAACAGGGACTTTAATATGTTTGCTTTTATATTTCTATCATCTAAAATAATGCCTAGGGGCACCTGGGTGGCTCAGTTGGTTAAGCGACTGCCTTCGGCTCAGGTCATGATCCTGGAGTCCCGGGATCGAGTCCCGCATCGGGCTCCCTGCTCGGCAGGGAGTCTGCTTCTCCCTCTGACCCTCCCCACTCTCATGTGCTCTCTCTCATTCTCTCTCTCTCTCAAATAAATAAATAAAATCTTTAAAAAAAAATAAAATAATGCCTAGTATACAAG